TAAGAGAAAATCTGTGGGTTCACATCCAGTGCATTTGTAGATTTGCGTGCTTTTCTTGCCACGGGCGCATACATGGGACATTGTGTGTGTGTGTGTGTGTGTGTGTGTGTGTGTGTGCACGTCTGTGTGTATGGGGATATTGTCTGTATCGGCTTTTGGTACTAATGTTCAGGTCTGTGCTTGCATGTGTGAACATGAAATTGTTCGGTTCTGTGCATGCTATTGCTATGTTGTATATTATTGTATGTATGTGTGCATTTCCACGAACAGTGTAGATGAGCGTGGAGAGTGCATTCATCCCTCATCAACCACTTCCCCTTGGGCTTACGAGAGTTTTTTCTGCGTACCTCTCATCTTTGTTTGTTTCTCTCTGATACTGTATTGATGCCGGTACCTGTACCTCGATGTGTTCCTCTATCTGCAGTCACCTTTAACCTTCGGTCAAGTTAACGTTTATTGTGCTCTATTTATCGTGCGAATCAAAATAAACAATAATAACACAAGTCGTGCTAGAGTGACGACATGTGCGTGTAGTAGGGTTGATGCGATGGGACGTTATAATTAGGTGGAACATAACACACATTGGGTAGATTGATTGGGCATCATTGATTGTGCTCAGTCTAAACAGTGAACATAATAATTATCTCCAGTGACAGACTGTAGCGGCTAGCCTCCAATAGGTAGCTGGCACTAGTCGCTACTGCTTGTTTGACAGGTGCCGCCAGAACCCCTGTTGTGTCATGCTATAGATGCACATGCCCTATTCTGGGGCATACTGAGGTACTTTGATTTTGTTGACTGCATGTAGACAGCATCCAATAGTAGTACTCGTAGACCTTGGCTCTTTGTAGGTCAACCACCATCGCATGGATCGATCGGTGACTATGCACTTGGAGGTTGGAATAGCCCGCGCTGAACAGATCTTGCCATGGCCCAGGGAGTGAACTCGCTTACTCGACTATCCCGGTTTTAGTTAACTAGCACGAGTGGTGCAATTTGTCCATACCATGTTGCGAGCTCACAGTTGTTTGGGCAGGTTTTGAGCTGCACCACGAAACAAAGCGAAATAACGGCGTGACTGTAGAGCAAGGAAGCGGCGAGACGGCACTTCCAGGACGAGACAGGCAGTAGAGATGTGTTCACAGCACAAGCAACCTCTCAAACCCTGCCGGTACTCCCCAGTTACAAGAAAATGTCGGACTGGACGACGCGCCAATGCAAACCTGCTACATCCACCCAGGCAGATAGCTGCCAAACCAGGCCAATGTCGACCCACTGCATACCGGTATGTCAATGTCAAACAGATCCTGCAGGAGAAGACTGGGATGATATTGGCGTCCAGTGTACGGACACCAGTCACATTTCCTGCGTCTTTTGCAGCATACAGGATAGACTCATCACTGTAAAGTCCACTACTTCGTGATTTTTATTTGTAGAATACATGACAGGCGTATTCAGTGTGCCTTGCAGGACTGCGAGATGCTGCAGAAGACCAGGTTCGACCTTTCTGGACCGCCATTCACCGACTGCGGGCTACACGATGCTGGAGGAATTAGATTCCAGTGAAAACCCAAGATTCCTTTGCTCCTGGACGCTCCGACGTGTTGTGATATCTGCCAGGTGCGCAGTAACTAGTATTTTCATCGCTATAGCGAGGATTTCGTGACTACTGATGGTGAGAGGCTGAGGACCCTCCTTCCAACCATATCCAACAAGCTCCTCGAATGGGATTTGAAAGTGAATGAGACCAAAACAGAGCACACGCACATCGAACGGCACACTGATCGCATCGAGGAGGAGTGGCGAACCACCAAGAAACTCGGGTCCCTATTAGGTGATGCCGAGGATATGCTACGGCGACAGCAACTGGCAACTGTTGCCTTTGGTAAACTCTGGACGCTGTGGATCCGTAGGTCGCTAGTTTCGGAGGATCTCCGCATCCGGCTCTATAATGCCTTTGTACTCCCTGTACTCTGCTACAATTGTGCAACATGGGCACCAACGAAACAGCAGCTGAGCCGTATTGAGGCCTTCCACCGAAAACAGCTGCGGGCGCTAATCGGCATTGTGTTCCCGAATCGGATTAGGAACGAGAGGCTCTATGAGCGTACCGGCGCGGTTCCTCTCGGCATTATCATCTTGAGAGCTAGGTGGAGGCTCTTTGGGCACGTCCTCCGGCTCCCGGCTGACTCCCCACCATCACTGGCCATGGGAGCGTACTTCGCAGAGCCTCGCCCAGCGGGCTGGAGGGGACGACCAAGACACACACTACCAACGCTACTACAAGATGATGCCAAGCGGATTGGACTTTCCTTGTCAAGCAAAGTCGATCTGGAGGCGTTCCGTGCCCTTGCTGCTGACCGAAGCGGTTGGGTGGGCATCTGTGCCCGAGTGGTGTCGGCACCCTAGTTTTTGTCTTCTTTTCGCATATTTCTTCTTTTTCTGAAACTGTTATGGTCTTTTGTATCTATTCGAAGTGGCTTATGCGAACATTTTTGGCTGGTTTGCATGATTTGCATGCCCATTAATGCAGCTGCAGGCCATGCTGATGTCTACGCGAACAAGCACATAATAATAATAATAGCGAGGACGACGCCGATCGGCAAACTCTCGCTCACAGCCATCACCAGCCTCTCAAAACCATCACTTGGTATCCCCCAGAGGTATAGGAGAAAGCCAAAACAGCTCTCAACAAACAAAAGCTAAGGACGATGGAAAGAGAGCATGTCAAAAAGAAGACGAACAGTATGAAGTTCAAATGGGTTTGAACACTCGTACCACCAACTATACCACTTTCAATAAATCGTGACGCCATTTTGTTTTAACACGCATACGGTCCATTCACCGCCAATCCGCCGAGATCGTACAGCGCAAGGCGGTGGAGTCGCCGTCTGGGTACGTTCGGGCCTCGCCTATGGCCACATGGAGCAGATAACCCGCGGTGACCTGGAAGTCATTTGGCTTACAGTGCAACTGCAAACAGGGTGTCGTGTTACAGTGTGTGCTGCTTATCGGCCAGGTTCATGTGCAGATAATGACATCTCAATCCTGGGACATATAGGCAGCACAATCAATCGAGTGCGACAGCAAGGCGCCAAGCTCGTAATTGCCGGGGACTTCAATTTGCACAACAGCAGTTGGCTTCAGAGCAGCAGGACGTCTCCAGCGGGCGAAGCCGCTGAGGACATGTGTGCCCTGCATGGCCTCACCCAGCATGTGGCAGAACCAACCCGCGGAAACAACACTCTTGACCTGATAATGTCCGACTTCCAGGAGCCAGTGGAGGTAGATGTGCTGCCTCCTGTTGGTAAATCAGATCACGCTGTAGTTGTTGCCACATTCCGCGCTCGAGTGCAGCAAGAGAAGCGCACCCACAGAACTGTTTGGCGCTACAACCAAGCAGATTGGAACCGTCTCCGCTCCCACCTTAGGAATACCAACTGGTGCCCCTTTTATCCTCAGGATCAGTGTAGTTTTTGGAACGAGGTGTCGGACTCAGCAATGTATTTGTTTACATTTTAATACATGTTTATTGTTCCTCCTTTGCTGTGTTGTTTTAGAAAATCGTGGACTAACAGTTTGAAGTCATTGAACTACTTCCAAAAGTTGTATCAACATTATTATTATTATTATTTCATTTATTTTACTAGGGTGTTTCCCACAGACCTATGGTCTTCTTACGGGAGCCCCTAGACAGGTTAAGCATGAACGAACAAATGGGCGATAATCTGTACAAGAGCGACATCAACAGGACTACCATTTCAGTGGAATATGATGCAGGATGACCTGTAAAAAGACGGCAACGTCTGTAGGGATTTCCCTAACAAAATAAGAAATACTACTACTACTACCTTATCACGATAACCCATGATTATAAACCATTAGCCCCATCCCTCACACAAACAAGTCAACAAAGAGGCATCTTTGGATTGAGGAGTGCTGGTTTCGAAACAACTGGTTTGAAGCTCAAAGTAGAGCTGGTGTTAGCTCAGAGCAGAGCTGCTGTTAGCTCAGAGCAGAGCTGCTGTTAGCTCAAAGTAGAGCTGCTGTTAGCTCAAAGTAGAGCTGCGGTTAGCTCAAAGTAGAGCTGCGGTTAACTCAAAGTAGAGCTGCTGTTAGCTCAAAGTAGAGCTGCGATTAGCTCAAAGTAGAGCTGCTGTTAGCTCAAAGTAGAGCTGCTGTTAGCTCAGTAGAGCTGCTGTTAGCTCAAAGTAGAGCTGCTGTTAGCTCAAAGTAGAGCTGCGGTTAGCTCAAAGTAGAGCTGCGGTTAGCTCAAAGTAGAGCTGCTGTTAGCTCAAAGTAGAGCTGCTGTTAGCTCAAAGTAGAGCTGCGGTTAGCTCAGAGTAGAGCTGCTGTTAGCTCAAAGTAGAGCTGCTGTTAGCTCAAAGTAGAGCTGCTGTTAGCTCAACGTAGAGCTGCAATGCTAAATGGATGCAATATAGCGCAAGGCAGAGCCGCAGCAAATAGCTAGATAACACCAGTTGTGAGAGTGGACCCGGTTAGTGGGTACGATAATATTATGATGGTGTGAATAAGTTGGATAGGGAGGGATGGTGGGAAAAGAAACACTGCTGAAGCACGATCCGTTGTCTGGAAGAGCACAACAGGGCAAGCAAGATTCTTTTCCGCAAAAATGGGCTGGTGCCATTTGTGATTACGCAGCAAAACAAAGCGCATGACGTCAGTCTTGAATGCAGTACAAAGCAATGCAGTGTGTGCGCTAGTTCGGATTGTTGCTAACAAGTACTAGCACAGCTAGTACACCATTATAAACACAGAATTTACAAAAACATCTGCGACACGCACCTGGCTACATTTCTCAAATAAATCTGATTGAGGATGGGGAAATCTGAAATATCTGAAAGAGAAGACAATTTTATGACAGTCATGAAATTCTGCAACAGCAAGCTTCAACATGCACAGAATGACCTCCGTATAAAAAAAGTATCACCACCACCACGTACCAGACCACTACTCACATGTTTCCCCGCAGAAGAACATGCATTATGCTAGTGCCATTTTCATCAATGCGTATAATACGGTATTGATATGATGTGAAAGCCATCATTTACATATTGATGTGTTTATGCACTCTTGATATAGGGCATTCCATTGATTGGTGACAGAAAAAAACAAAAGAAATTATAGCAATAAAAACTGCTTTGTGGCAGTTTTCTAAAAAAAGTTATTGTGTTCTAGTCCATGGACCCTGTCTAAAAAGTAAGAAATAATTAACGAAATGTGATAGCCGAAAATTAAAATTTCACACAAAACCTCACAATATTCACACACAGAATGAAAAGCTACATGTAGCAGACCTTTTCCCCTCGTGATCCTCTTTCCTATGCACGCATGTTGCCAATTGTTGGTGCAGTACAAGTTTAATGTTGAAAGCAGCATTTCAAGTGTTGTGATTATTGTGAGGTTTTGTGTGAAATTTTAATTTTCGGCTATCACATTTCGTTAATTTCTCACTTTTTAGACAGGGTCCATGGACTAGAACACAATAACTTTTTTTAGAAAACTGCCATAAAAAAAAAAAATAAATAAATTTCACGGTTCGCGTGAGACTCGGCTGGAAGCCGAGTTTTCCGCATCCGCGAAAACTGCCATAAAGCAGTTTTTATTGCTATAATATATGAACCAGACAATGCGCATGAATGTGACAATGATCTAGCTGTTTGTAAATTGCATCACTCTGTTGAATACAATGCTAAAAACATACATATATGATCAGCATGTGAAAGAATGAGACACGATAACATGTTACGCAGCAGAACATACAGAGGAAAATGATAGGTTTCGATAGCGTGACCAGTAATCTGATCTAGTCAATTGCATGTTAGAACTCGTGTTCAGCGACTGTGGGTTTGCAGCAAAAATCACAGGGCCACATAAGGTGGATACGGCAAGGATATCTTTGGTCAAAATGTTGCTGCTGCCGACTGCGACGTCTGCAGGTGATGGTAATTTGGCAATATCTTTGTTGTTAGGAAGTCCAGCTGTGATGCCGGTGCCTGTAAATTGGACACGGAGAGAGGGAGAGAGAGAGAGAGAGAGAGAGAGAGAGAGAGAGAGATAGATAGATAGATAGAGAGAGAGAAATCCAACGCGATAGTGATTAATTATATTACTGCAAGAGAAGAGGTACAGTATTTTTGGAGACAAGAATGCAATGAAACTGAGAAGGAGAGGAGGTAGCAAACAGAAATGTGCCTTTTAACCTAAATCCCCTACATGCAAGTACAAAATGAGAACTGGCTCAATAAAACACGGGTATGTGTGACACACACACACACGAACATACACACACACACACACGGCGCACACGCGTGTACACACACCATGCACACCTCACACGAACACACACACACACATACACACACACACACACACATGCACACACGCACACATGCACACACACACACATACACAGACAGACACAACCACTAGTCATGGCTGACTTCACACCAATATGACCTAGTAAACAAATGACACACACACACACACACACACACACACACACCCGCACACACACACACACACACGCACACACACACACACACACACACACACACACATGTCCTGTTGAGCCACTGCCATGAAGGTTACGTGGGCCCCGGAGGGGCAGCTGAGAGAGAGGAGGAGCACACAGCCCTGTGACGATCCAGGTGATGCGGTAAGCGAAATCGGCGGGAGCAGGCGCAAACACATGTGAAACCCTGACGGTCCTGAACGGTCGGACGACTACAAGTCCGTGAGCAGCGATGACAGGCGCGGCCACGTGTAGACGCAAAGCAGCGGTCACAAGCCTGGCAGTGAGCGGCGCAGCACAGCGGAGAAGCAGGCAGCGGCAGGGGCGCACCGACTGCTGACTGGGGGTAAGTACACTTGTGCCTTGCCAGACCCCCACGGGACTTCAGCCAACGGCCACACTCTCCACACTGGCATGCAGCTTTCTGCTCCGCAACCGGCTTCGCACGCTCAACCCTACACTTGTGGCGAGTGCAATCACTGGGGCGTGCAAACTGTCGGTCGCAGGTGTAGCAGGTGACGGGAGGGGGGGGGGGGAGGGGGGGATGCTGGGCATCTACCGGTGAGTACGCCGAGGCCAGGTGGAACGCGACTCGCATTCAGCTCGCCATTCCCCCTCAAGGCCGCGAGAAAGAAGGTCAAACACTATACAATCCTTCCAGCGCCGGCGAGGGCCATGAGCCGGGCGCCGCGACGAAAGCGTGCCAAAGAGAACTTGCTTCGGCAGCCGGTGGTCCTCCATCCGAGCAACACGTCTGAGCCATTCAAGGCGGCGGTGCTCCACCTTCGTGCGGATGGTGTCGGGATCACCCCACCTCACTCGTAGTTGGTGATTGGTGATGTGGTCATCCCAGCATTCTTGGCGAGACACTCCCATGATCGAGCGGATGCATCGGTGGTGGAAGACAGAGAGCCGCTGCAAATCCCGTTGAAGAGGCGTCCAACACTCCGAACCGTACAGCAAGAGCGACAAGACACAGGCGTTGAACACACACCTCTTGATGTGAAGGTCCAGGTGCTTGTTGCCAAAGATGGACTTTTGCAAACCGCCACACGCTCGGGAGGCATTCGCAATGCGGGAGTCAACATTGCGGGATGAACGGCCGCCGCTGTGAATTACCGAACCCAGATACTTGAATTCGGTGACACAGACAATGTCGACATGCACCAGCTAGACTGAGGGGTGCGCGGTCAGCAGCAGACACATCAGCACCACCAACCAAAAACTTTGTCTTTGTGGCACTAACCGCGAGGCCAAATTCGGACGCCGTGTTGTCAAAGATTGTCAATGCGACCTCGGCACCAGCTCTTGATGTAGCGAACAATGCCGAGTCATCAGCGAAGTGAGCCTCCGTAGCGGTAGTGACAGGGTCGGTGCGGTGAGACTTCCTGTAGAGGTTACCAGTGTCAGAATTGTGCAAGAAACTGAAACCAATACCAGGTACACCACTAACGCGCTGCTGCCATCTGCTTACCACGCCCACATGAACATGTTAAACAGCACGGGCGCCATTGAGCAACCCTGGCGTAGACCATTATGAACGCTAAAGGGATCTACAGTTGTACCACTCATGCGTAATATAGCAGCCATTGAGGTGTGAAACGACTTGATCACCGCCAGCATGGGTGAAGGGACGCCAGCTCTAGCCCATACCTGCCAGAGACACTCACGAGGAACCGAGTCGGAAGCTTTGCGCAAATCGATGAAGACAAAGAAACCCGTGGTTTGATGTTCTACTGTCTTCTCCAAGAGTTGGCGGATGGTAAATATCATGTCAGAGCATGATCTGCCACGGCGGAAGCCACACTGCGATTCCGGGAGGAATTCTTTCGCCAGAGACTGGAGGCGTAGCTGAATGACTCCTGCTAGTGCCTTGCCTACGACATCCAGCAAATATCCCACGCCAGTTATCGCACCTGGAGAGGTCACCTTTTTTCGGTATTGGCACCAGCATGGCATCTACCCACTCCTGGGGGACACGACCCTCACGCCACACATCGCCAAACAGCCCATGAAGGCTGAGGAACAGCACACACACACACACACACACACACACACACACACACACACACACACACCCACGCACGCACGCACGCACGCGCGCGCGCACACACACACACACACTACTAAAGGCGCTCAACAATTCGGTCTTGCGGAAGAAGCAGAAAGATAATCAACAGAGAACAGAGAAAAGATGCAACTGCAGGGATAAAGTTAACTGCCCAATATGGAAACTGCCAGATCCAGTCAATCGTATACAAGGCCAGCGTGACAGAAACCGGAAAAGACGAACAAAATGAGTACCTCGGCCTAACGGAAATGACGTTCAAGAAGCGATACGACGGACACATGACGTCAATGAGGCATGAGCGAATGGAGAAGAGTACCGAGTTGTCGAAGCTCATCTGGGACATGAATCGCAAGGATGCCGGGTACAGCATCAGTTGGTCAGTTGTCGCCCAAACACCAGCATACTCCAATGCCACCAAGCGCTACCCTCTCTATCTGCGTGAGAAGCTAGAGATCTTGCATGCTGACAGAAGGGTGAACATCAACAAGCTAGTGGCCAAGTGCAGACATGACAACAAATTCTACCTATCTAACTTCACACCTCCAGTTACTAGTCAGTTACATAAACCAGGATTACACCTGATGCCTGATGTCTGGCGCTGATCTTGCAAGTACATGCATAGAATCACCGCTTGACCTTATTTGCGCTGATTCCACTAGCACCTCACCACACTATATCAAGAACACTCATTGAGTTTTTGTAATCATTGCTGTCTGATGACCGCCACAGGCGTGAAAATCCGAGTCACAGCCAACCCAAGCTCCGTATCCCATTCTATTCTTTTTGTAGATTATATCTTATACAGTCAGACCTCGCATAACCGCACACATCTGTTTTCCACAAAAATATCCGGATAGGCAAGGGAACACCGTTTATGTTGGATGCATCAAGTATACTGTATATTATAAATATGTAACCAGCTACTTTCTTCCGGATGGCGAGGGATCCGGATAAAAGAGGACCGGATAAGCGAGGTCTGACTGTAGTAACAATAGCGGATCAAGAGGGGAAGAGATCAGGACTAGCGCCAGATACCTGCCTAATCCACTCAGCTGGTAAAGCCATGCAAATCGACCAACAATACATTCCTGATGTACACCACACCGATCATATCGGAATAAGGGGTCGTCCACAAATATCGATGTTTTTTTAGAGAAGAGATTCGTTCGTTTGGGGGGGGGGGGGAGGGGGGTTGAGCCCTGTTCGTTCGTTTGGGGGGGGGGGGGAGGGGGGTTGAGCCCTGTTCGTCTCGTCTTTGCAGAAAAAAATATCGAATTCTATCTATGGACGGGCGCTGTTCGAACATGTAGTTTATGACCTACACAATGTGAAAGTCGACCTCGTGAGCATAGCCATGGCAAGGGTGTGCGACCGTGGCAACATAAACCTAGGTGTACGGTGAAATTAGAGTGGCAACTGGTCACGTTTCATGAGGAAATTGAACTCCATCAAAAAATATCGATCCTTGCATAAACAGGTGTATGTTCGTTTTGAGGGGGGAGGGATGGGGTCTGGGGAGCAATGAACAAATATCGTCTTGAAAAAAACATCGATATTTACGGACGGCCCCTGAGACGGCCAAGACAGTTACCTATGCACACCCTACACTTGCTGGGGTAACCAGCGAAGTCAGCATGCTGCTTTGACATAAGCAGACACTAGAAGCACTGGTACCATGAAGTTTTACACAAGCACACACACACCTGGTCCTGGTCCTGGTAAACACTGCCATTACGGTCACGTGGCCCCTTACGGGGCCGACAATATAGAACGACGAGCGGGACCATGTTCGAGAGAGCCATCTCCAGCGGCTATGGCTCTGGCTTATCATCGGAAACGATTCCTCTCACGGCTGCCGCTAGAACTGGTCCATCACTCTCCACAACAGAGCGAACATTCCATGAGCCAACGCTCAGAGTCGTTCCAAGTCGTCGTCTTCGTGCGGTAGTTTGCTCCACTCGCGGGCTTGCAAAGCCTCGCGAAGGACTCCGAGGTGGGGGCGACGAGGAGAGTGTCGGCATCGTAACTATCCGACCAAGTCTCCTGTCGGTGAATACCCCACCTCAGGCACTGTTGGCCTGGACGGCTGGGGACACCCCAGGCTGTCCACAACGGCGAGAACAAGCACGGTCGGAGGCCAGAAACAAGAGCCCGGAAAAGTACAACCACACACACACACACACACACACACACACACACACACACACACACACACACACACACACACACACACACACACACATGCATGCGTGTGTATGCATACAGACACAGACACACACAAACACAGACAGACAGACAGAAACACACACACACACACACACACACACACAACGGCATTGAATTTGCAGAATGAACAATGCACTCACCAGGTATGGGTGATCACTTGCTCCTCGATCTTGCCTGTTCATATGCTATCTACTCAAACCTCTTCAACATGCGCAGTCTGTTCAGCATTAGACCTGCGGCTGTCACCCTTAGCCTCTGCAATCTTGTCTTCTGGCGCATCAGCCTCAACTGCACTTGTATTCTGCGTTAATCATGGCAAGGAACACTGCTGCCTCTGTACAGCAATACAGAAACAGTAACACAAGTTCATGTCACTGTATTGAAACCATATTCATCTCCATACAAGCAAAGGATACTACTGTCTTTTTGATTCAATCCCCCACCCTCCAACACACACACACACACACACACACACCTGTGATAGGCAAAGTTAGGCGGATTCGCGGCCGCATCACCTGACGTGTTGGGGAACACAAACTCAGTATGGTGTCAGCACAGTTCATTGCATGTAAAGTGGCACTTGCCCGCATCACCATGATTGAGAGAGCCCCGGACACCCTCCCCCCCCCCCCCCCCTGTTTCCAGCACAGGTTTTGAACTGGGGACTTCATGATTCACAGGCAAGCCTACAAATCCATCGGCTATACGCGTTGGGTCGTAAAAATCAAATCTTTGCGAGTGATTCTTTTTCCCAATTTTGCATCCCACATCAAATCGCGAATGTAGGCGCACACACGAACATGCACACACACACACACACACACACACACACACACACACACACACACACACACACACAAACACACACATGAACACACACAGTCACGTTTATTCAAGAGTGGTTGACCCCTGCTATGGCAGGTCAGGGGAATCGGACACATTACGGTCACTATGGTAATGACCGTACCACTCTTTGCACCGAGTATCCCGTGAATCATTAACATGCACTTCACTGGGCTCTGAATTTCCAAAATGTTCAAGTCAGGCATACCTCCCTGACGCGTATAATGTACTTCAGACGGCTAACCGTACCCGGCACACGAAATTGCCTTCCGACGCCACTGCAGACACATTACGTCACTTATTATTGACAAACAAGTTTAGAAAAGATGAGTTTGGACGCTTCTTGCAGCTTTATTACTTATGCAATTATGTTGTGGCCTAAGAGCCACACTTCAAATTACACTGCTTTCTACACTTTACTCAAAATTCTAATGGAATAGGAGACAAAATCATACCCAACGTAAAACTAATCTCATTCAATTCCAACAATTGAAACTAACTCCGTATAAACAATATCCGCTGATCTGGTACGCACATCTCCAGTCTCAACTCCATTGTGTGATACGCCAGCATCAGTGACTAATGATTAGCGTGGCACTTGCGTAACTCATCGGAATGCAGAGCCACCAGCAGTTCTCACGTAGCACTGCAGCGGTTGTACTGCAGTTCCAATCATTCAGTTCATGCTACTACTAGCGTCTTCATCGTCAACAACAAGACTTAGTAGTTGAAGTAGACACAAACGTGACAAAGGACAAACCTGTCCGCAGATTGAGTGCACAATAATGAATTATTTTTCATGACGACACAAGGATCCATAATCCGCATGCCTTCTTCGGCGCTCGAACACAGCAAAGTCTGGCCCGGTCAAGACGACCACAGACCACAGTCGGTGTGCCTGACAGTACAAAACTGTTTCAGACAGTATCCACTAGTAACTATTAATTTTGTAGATCTACCAAACCAAGTACAATCATGTAGATCTACACATGTGTAGATCACATCGTAGTCTCACTGTGACATATGTTTTCTAATCAAAATACCAAGAGAGAAAGTGAATATTGAGTCCGGTCCGGTTTGCAACCTACCGGCATGCCCTATTTGAAACCGTCGCCTTCTACACTCAAACTCACTCAGAGTCAGACTCAGGCTCGGCGCAGTGCTCAACCCGACTGCAGCAGGAAGTGCGGCGCAGACTGTTCAGTGCTGTTCAGTGCCAGTGCCAGCGGCAGTACAATGCCAATGGCCTAGAGATACTAGACTAGAGTCTAGTGCATGTGCCACTCCACTCTCCAGTGCATGAACCCGCGATGAAGTACCGCGTAGATCTACCTACCATACCTATAGGCTATGTACGCGTAGACTTGGCATTGGCCGGATTTTTTTGGCGACGGCTGTCAGTGGTGAAGTAAACAGAAAAACAAGAAAAGCAGCAACAGACATAGGCTGATTGTTGCCGTTGTTGTGACAAAGCCAGCTTTGAGTTCGAGTGTTACGGGACAGACAAAGTCCAATGACTTTGACTGTTGTCAAATTGCGTGATATTGAAAATAACATTAGCTGAGTTTGGAATCTACCAGTGTTCATTCGCGGCTGAAAACCAGCACCACACACACTAGCATTGAATTGCAGGAATAGAAACAAGGCAGTTTTACGATTGTAGGCGTAGGTGTGTGAGCCATTCAGCGTCATGGCGAGCAAAGCGGAGAACAGCAGTCGTTCTGAAGCAAAGTGCTCGAGTCAGGATAGCGGTGAACCCGCAGCGAACGGGTCTGCCAGCGCACAAGCAAGTCTTGCCTCTGGTCGAGCAGATCAGGTAAGAAACATACCCGAGGCAGTGTGCAGGTTGAGAGATTTGTTAGTTGAGAAATATGTAAGCGCTACGGTAGATATGGGAGAAGGCATGGTTGAGGAAGGGCTCAACGAACCCAGGGTTTCAGACGTGCAAGTGAGACTGATCATTTTGTCGAGACCCGAGCTCCGAGATCAGTTCAGCAGGACGAATTTTGATTCGATTGGCGACGTGTGGCGTGTGGAACATGTTTTCACACAGGCGGCCACTAGCTTGGAGAATATCTCGCTAGAAAGTCTCTTCGATCTTGATAAAGAGCAGATGCTGGAGTTCTCTAGCGGTGGTCGAACCTATCGCATCTTGGTTGTAGCCAGTGCTGGCTGCGGCAAAACATTCGCCTTGACCAAAGTGGCTCCATTGAAATGGGCCCAGGAAGAAATGTGGACGTCGTTTGACCTGGTGGTAGCGCGAAAGCTGCGACACAAGGAGGTGAGAAAAGCAAGGAATATATGCTCTCTGCTTGGTGTGGAAGAGCTGGGAGAGTTTACGAGCGACGAGCGCAAGAGCATCGATGGCTTTGTACGTCAGCAAGCGCAGCGAGTGTGCCTAGTATTAGATGGGCTTGATGAAATTCGCCTTAGTGAGTGTAGTGGCTTTGTTCGTGACATCATCAACGGGTCTAATGTGAAGGGGCTTCGTCTGGTAGTGACGTCACGGCCGTGCGTTGAGCTACTGAGCCTCTGTGATCAAAAGCAGTTTGATCGGCGTGTGGAACTTGTGGGTTTCCGGCAGGATGATGTAGAGGAGTACATCGAAAAGGTGCTGAGATCAGCGGAAGAAGCATCGGCACTGGTAACGGCAGTACGGCTTGACCAGAACCTTGCTAGTATGATGGCCACACCATTCCTGGCCATGCAGACGTGCAAGATCTTCCACTGTCGTAAACGCACGCTGCCCCGTTGTCTCTCGGATATCTTTGAGATGATGACCATCCAAGTAGCAGAGCGTCACACCGATGAGCCGTACAAGAATTGGAATACGATCCCCGCTCGTGTGCGGTCCCTCATCCTGGATCTCGGAAAGTTCTCTTTTAGCATGCTGAGGAAGCAGCAGCTGATATTCACTGATGCTGACCTGGAGGCACGTTCGATTGCCAGGGAAGCAAAGTCACTGGGCCTTCTTGTACTGGCCGACAACAGCAGCAGGGATAAGGACCGGTTATGGATGTTCAGCCATCTGACATTACAAGAGTCTCTGGCTGCTCGCTACGTGGCTGTACACAAGACAACAACATTGGCACATGTTGTTCACCTGGTTGAGTCACTGGGACCCCAAACCAGCCACTTACGCACGTTCTGGATGCTGCTGACGGCTCAGCTGGATGGGGAGAAGGCTGACTGCTTGATCAACGGTCTACTTACGCGGGTAAAGTCAGAAGAGAGAGACGAGCAAAACTGGGATGGTGAAAGTGAAGGTTTGGCTGACACAGCGGCACTGGAAACTTTCCCACTGGATTTGCTCGAGCCCCTCAGCGCCGGATTAGACCAGTATGAAATACATCGCCTATCTGAAGAGTTGCTATCCGACAGAATTGATGGACGAAGTGGCGAACAGTATGTAGAGAATCGCAGCAAATACGGTCGATCGTCTAGCGGTGAGCAGTTCCTGAGTACAATGTTGCTGGCTTGGGTGGACCGGTGCCCGGACGCAACGCCTGCTACACTGGCTACTGCTCTCGGACGCATGGGTAAAGAGGTACTCGCACAGTCTCTTACTGCTAAAAAGCCGGATAAGCCACTGTTACAGAACAATCCCTTTCACAACGATATAACAGAGGAGCATCGCGGAAACTTGCATCTTGCCGTGCTTTGCTATGCTGAGTATTCTCATCACCATGGCAACGACACCCATCCCATGTCCAGTATTGCTGCTGCGTTCCAGTGCATGGGTGTACGGATATGGGGTACCTACCATCCTGCACTCATGCGTGCCTATGATGTAGCCATCAATGTCCACCACAGCAGTGTGAGGACTGTTTACATCCGTTCCCTGCAGCCCAACCACCCAGTTTCATTGCCAGCATCGTTACTCAAGTGTAGCAACATCATCGATCTCCTTTTAGAGAGATGTAGTTGGCAGTGGCAGGAGATCCTCCTCGTTATCAAGTCCTCACACCTACAACTGGAGAAGATCTGGGTGGTTTACGGTGATTTTAGTGATGCTTCCAGGAGCAGTGTAGCATCACACCCAGTCCACACCCAGCCAGCACAGGCTACACGCAGTGGAGAGGTAACAACGTCAGAACAGGTCACTGGCAACCCCGCACTACTCCTGGCCAACGCACTTGCCGACGTTCCCCGTCTCCAGGAATTCACCCTGAGCAATTGTGGCGGTATTGACCAAGAGGGTCTGCGCATGATCTGCACAGCACTGCATAGTGCATCACATCTGTCTGAAATACACATCTGTCAGTCCCACTGGGCACACTGCATCAACGTGCTAACAGAAAACCTGCACACTGCCTGGCCATGCTTGACGGTGCTAGTAGTCGGTGTTCACGAGGAGCCACTGCACTGTAGCCTAACCGACGATGATGCCACTGCATTCCTGCATGCCATCAACAGCCATACCTCACTGCAGAAACTAGCAATCTTCGCCAACCATACTGAATTGGCCAGCGTGGACGCCTGCAAACGTCTCTTCAGCAGCAGTTCCTATAGATCTTCCTTGGACAAGGATCTCTGCCTAGAATAGTGACAGTAGTACCGTAGCTATCTTGCCAGTACCGTCACTTAATGATGCAGAACTAGACACATAGTCGGTAGTAATTCCACATTATCCTGAAACAGTCTACTAGTATGCAGTGACAGATTATGTAAGAGAACAAAACAATTTAAAACTGTACCAGTACAGATTGTGTACCACTAGCAGTACCCATAGGCCTCGACTCAACACCTTGTCAGAGCCCCCCCCCCCCCCCTGTACATACTGTGCTTTACAACCCCCACCCCCCCCCCCCGCACAACCCCCCCCCCCCTGTGTACATACTGCCCCCCCCTGTGTACATACTGTGCTTTGCACACCCCCCCCCATTGTGTTTGTATATAATTTGTAGTCCACACATTCAGTTGACTGATATGTAACCCTATAGCGCTCATTCATATTCCTAAATAAACAGATAGCCTGTCTATATCCTGTGTAGATCTCCATCTCACAATCCAATTATACAGTCATCCACCCTGACCCCCCCCCCCCCCTATCCGCCGATCTTGCCTACATGCAACATGCTTTTGACAGATACACGTACTAGTGTAGATATTTGCCATTCCCACTGCACGTGTCCTTCAGGTCATTGAGCTATGAGACTAGTAACTGCTGCTATTCAGACTGTACATTGATTGTGTGTATGCGTATTCTATGCACTGTGTGTTTTGTATATGTGTGTTGGGACGGTGTGACCAGCCCATCAAGATTCTATGTCCTTTGGTGGGGAGATCAGCTTTTTTGAACTGTGGCATTGTCCTCGAATTTGGAGCGACAGCCCAGGGCCGTTCAAATACACGGCACATAAATGGCCTGTTGATGTTGTGTATCATAATGATTGGGAGTGCATTTTTTTATTTTTTTATTTTTTTTATTGAAAAACCACAAACCTTCAGACATGTGAATGTGCACATGATATACAGTGTACATACGTATGTATCGAGAAGGCAGCACGGAAACGGCAGTGGTGGTGAGGCCTGGGCAGCTCGTCCGACCGTGGGTCTCGGAGTCAACACTGGGCAGACGCACCGGGGGGGGGGGGGGGGTAGCTTAGGAGATAAGGGATGAAGCCAGCATGATCATAGTATGTAATGCATATGCAGAAGTAATAATGATGTTAATCTTAAAAACAATAGTGCGGTGGACCTGCGCAGAGGAAAGGCATCATGGACATGATCTACGTGTATAACATAATAATAATATAATAATTAAAAGTGAGCTAGGGCACATCATACACACACATATGCGCATGTTCAAATAGGAGATCAACCTGATAGGGCGTTCACCGGCCTTGGGTAATCTTGAAATAAAGATATTAATTTTATTGAAGAGATTATTATCATACGCTCGCATAAACACCACATACCAACCATGTGCACCCACCCCCACACACACACACGCGCGCGCGCGCGCACACACACACACGTGCTCGCACGCACGCACACACACACACACACACACATACACACACCACACACACACACACACGCACACACATACACACACCACACCACACACACACCACACACACACACACACACACACGTACACACAGACACACACGTGCACATTCACGCAGACGCGTAATCATACATAATATTTGTGCACAGACTCACTCTCTCACAGTAACGTCCAGAAAACCACCACGCCGAGTCCCTACAGCCGGTCGGTCGCCCAGTCCCAGTGGCTCGAGCGCAGGAATCGGTGGACGCTGCACTTGAAGGACTGCAACCTCTTCTGGTCGGGCTGATCCAGGAGGTGTTGGCGAGGCAACTGGTTCCAGGTGTCCAGCACTCCTTCAGGGAACGACCGGCGGACGTTGTTGCGAGAATTGGCTGGGATATCAGACTGCAGCTGGTAGCGGTGGCCGGCCGCCACCCGCGCCTGCTGCCTGGTGTTGGCAGGATGTTGGTCGTGGTCTGGTACTGCTTGGGAGGGGGGCAGCATTCGGGTTAGCATCTGTGGGCCTGTCAGGTAGTGGATTTTGTAGAGATAGCAGAGAGCAGCCACTTTGCGCCGGAGTTCGAGGCTTGGCAGATATGCGCCTTCGCCGATCAGATGCAGGGCTCTCCGCTGTACAGCATCGAGTTGGGCCAGCACCGTCTGAGAAGCACCCATCCAGACTAGCATGCCATGCTCTAAGACTGGGCGAACAAAGCCGTTGTAGACCGTGAGACGGCAGCCAGGGTCAAGCACTGCTGAGGCCTTCTTCAGGAAGCCCAGTCGCTGTGTGGCGCGCAGGGCTGACTGTCGAATCTGCTGGCAGAATGTCAGTTGACTGTCGAAGGCTATCCCAAGTAGCTTCAGGCACTGGGTTTCAGGAACCATTTCACCTTGGAATGTGACCGGAGGGCAGTCCCAGGGCCGACGGTGGTGGCTGACGTGGAGTAGGTATGACTTGGCGGGCTCGAATGTCACTCGCCAGGTCGCACCCCAGGCAGCAAGGGCATTGACGGCGGTCTGGAGATCATCACAGTCAGCTGCGAGGTTGCCGAGATACCGGATACACTTGTAAAGCGTTGTGTCGTCTGCGTACGTGGCAAGGCTGGTCGATTGGGGAAGGTGGTCCTCAGCGTCATTAATGTAGATCTAGAAGAGAGTGGGCCCCAGGATGCTTCCTTGAGGCACACCTGCTCGGATGGCGTGTGTGGCTGATGTTTGTCCACCAACTACGGCCCGGATCTGGCGGCTCTCTAGGTAGTTTTTCAACCATGAGATCAGGTGGCCAGTCAGCCCAAGGCATCTGGCCTTGTGAACGCATGCTGTGCAATGTAGCCATAATTTCATGTTGGTTGCTTCAATGTGTACAATATTTGCCAAAACATCCGGCCAATGCTGCATGTACCGTAGGGGAAGTATACCCTAAAATCAAATTTTCACCAGTTGTAGTCTTCGGGGTGCTGAGTCGAATGGTCTTGGTCCGAGGAAGCTGAGACGCTCCCTTCCTACTTGAATCCCAATCGAACTCGCGCACTTCCACCGAAACTGGGTGACTGCGCCCTACTAGATGGGGATTTGTATGCAAAATCTCACTAAAAGCGCCATTTCGTTCTTATAAAAGCACAGATGACCACGATTGGCCCATATGTTGTAGTCTTTTGGACGCTGAGCCGACTGGTTTTGGTCCGGAAAGGCTGCGATGCAGCGCTCCTCCTTTATTCCCAATCGAACATGGTTGAATAAGCGGTCACGTGCTCCTGCGTACACCAGTCATCTGGTCACCGTGCCTGCAGGGTACAACTTACTAGCCTGTTTGACCTTTTTTCGGTGCAGTCCTGTCACTCGAGTTGAACTCGAGTTGAACCTTGGTGTGAAAGTTGTCGCCTGCTGGCGCGGTGACCAGGTGATTTGGGCACCCAGGAGCACGTGACCGCTTGTTCAACCATGTTCGATTGGGAATAAAGGAGGAACGCCTCATCGCAGCCTTTTCGGACCAAAACCAGTCGACTCAGCGTCCAAAAGACTACAACATATGGGCCAATCGCGGTCATCCGTGCTTTTATAAGAACGACATAGCACTTTTAGTGAGATTTTGCATACAAATCCCCATCTAGTAGGGCGCAGTCACCCAGTTTCGGTGGAAGTGCGCGGGTTCGATTGGGAAAAAAGAAGGAAGGGAGCGTCGCAGCTTCCTCGGACCAAGACCATTCGACTCAGCACCCAGAGGACTACAACTGGTGAAAATTTGATTTTAGGGTATACTTCCCCTTTAACTATCATGTGCAGCATTGGCCGGATTTCTTTGCCATGTACATGTATAGTACTTGGCATATACAGTCGTCCCTCTCTAATCCGGCACCTTTTGCAACGGAATTTTCTGCTGGATAAACTAGGGTGCTGGATTATCAAATCCTGCCCTCCAACCCGGCCCACCTGTTAGCATTATCTGTTTGTGTCGAACATCAAAACGTAGGGATTTTCTGTGTCAAACCAAGTACTTTGTGGAATGCATGTCTTTAACATACACTTGGGAATATCTTATGCACTGGCATAGGATATTCCCAAGTGTATGCTGCTGGAGGCGGAATTCAAGTGCCGGATTAAAGCGTAGAAAATGAACTGAAAAAATCCGTTTTGCCAGAAAGTGTGCTGGTTTGCATGGGTGCTGGATAAACAAGTGCCGGATTAGAGAGGGACGACTGTACTAGGTGGTGGTCGCATGCTTTTGTGTGTGTGCGTTGGGGGGGGGGGGGGGGGGGGCATGTGTGTTTGTTGGGGGGGGGGGAGGGGGTGCATGTGTGTGTGTGTGGGGGGGGGGGGTGGTGCATGGGTGTGTCTTTGTGTGTGTGTGTGTGTGCATGCGCCGACAGTTTAGCGAATGGTTACGTGCATGGCATGGTGCCTTGTCATCACTATGACACACTTCATTGTGTGCAGGGGAAAGGGTGCTTGTGTGTGTGTGTGTGTGTGTATGTGTGGTGGATACCAGGCTAAAATTAGTGGCGGTCAATTCATCAGCCTTGCAAGCTGTTGAATGGTGTAATCCCAGCACAAGTGGCTATGTCTAACATAGCTGTTCGCTATCATCGCTTCCGCGATGGGCAGGTCTGAGGTCTGAGGTATGTGTAGTTTACAGAATGGTTACATTCTATCCAGTGAGGGTCGTGGCATACCTAGGATGCCCTGGAACAGTGACCTGTTTCTGAGATTCCATAGAAAATTGTTGTCAAAGTACAGCACTACGTACATGGAATAGCAGTGTCAGTCCATGGAGTATTCAGTGCAAATAATTGACACACTCCCACCATTAGCCATTGGCGGACTATGCTCGGCCAATCGTCAAATTATGCTTTTGAGTATGCCACAATTATGCCAACGAATATGCTGAATTATGCTCGGTTCCACTATGTTTTCACGATGTACATAGAAGATTGAGAAACCACGCATACACACACGGCCATGCCCTAAGCATAATTTTTGTCTAAACCGAAAGATTATGCCGACCTTACACGTTGGAATCCGTATAATATACATAAATAATATTATTATGCCGGAGCATAATTGTTTGACGATATCCCAAGATTATGCCAAATATTATGCCGGCATAATCCGCCAAGGGCTACTCACTATACTGCAATGTGAACCATCTGTCCAGTCAAGTGAGGATGTGTTGCTTCTCAGGTTCATACTAGTCTTCATGTCAAATTAGTGGATGGTACTGGAAAGGTTGTCATGGTGATTGGGAAATCCCCTCATTACACA